TTCTCGATAGCCAAAAGACAGAAAACGTGAATGACTCTCTAGAGTATATACAAGATATAAAGAAACAAAACTGTTGGAGGATGAAAATATATAGAAAACGATGATGATTTAAAAAGTGAGATTTAGAAAGACTCTTGGAGATGCTCTTGCTAATTATGCATGGTCCAAGCTATCAAATTTTATATGTAACCAAACTTTTTTGTACTACTATCAAAGAACTAAAACATTGATATTACCATTTACCATTGAGTTTCAGGTTGTCTACTCAGATGCTCTTGTACGCGTGGTTGTCACCGAGAGCGTTTGGTGATTTATTCGTCATACTCCTACCACTGCTCATACCTAATTCGGTAATGCGTGTGTCTGCGTTCGGACGCATCAAACGCTCAGTGGACGGACGAGCAAGACTTTCACAGGCAAGCTCGGATGCCTGCATCCTCAGGCTTATTTTATTATTGAGTCAAATATACTGGCGGTCCTTTAACTTGTTGGTCTGTGCCAGTCCAGTCCATGAACTTACAAACGCGGAAAATAGGCCTCTGAACTTGTCAAGTTGTTCACCGCAGGTCCATTTCCCATCCGCGCGCGGCCTCCAGGCGACGTGGCAGCGCCAGTGTAGCAGACGAAGCACGTGAGCCGCACGTTTTAATACCGAACGCGGCGGGGCGGCGCTGCGTCCACACTGTTTGGTGGACCGGGAGGCGCGAGACGTGGCGACGCCCATGGCCGGCAACAGCGAGCTCGGTGGGGTGGCGCTGTGGAGCGCTAGCGCCTGTGCGGGTTACACGGGGGTGGAGAGCGCGACGAGGCGAACTCGCCTAGGACATTCCCCGCGGCGGAGGACGTCCGGAGGCGGCGGTATGTGCGGCGAGGTGGCTCGGCCGTGGCGGCGTAGCTCCGGCGAGCTAGAGTGACGCGCAAAGAGGGAGAGGAAGAGCGCGGGAGCACTGGAGGGTGCCTTAGCACGCCCCGAAGCTCGTCGACAAGCTCGTGTCTGCTAGAAAGCGATAGAGGAGGAGATCGACGGCGGCGGCGCTGCTAGCTCGGGATGAGGCGGCGGCGCCTGTAGAGCGAGAGAGGGAGCACGGGGAGAAGCGGAGTGAGTGCGGAGTGCTCACGCGACACTCTGGGCACCATTTTAGAGGGAGAGAGAGAGACCGCAGGAGGAGAGGAAAGGCCGGTCAAGGAGCTCGGCTCCATGCCGACAATGGCGGATCTCTGACTCGGCGCTGCGGGACGAGCAGCTTGGGGCGAGAGGCTGCGGCGCGTAGAAAGGGTCCGCGCGGGGTGCTCGGTTGTGCAAGGGACGCGGGAGAAGGGCGCGGCCAGGCGTGGTCCAAGCGCTGTCAGCGACGATGTTCGTCCCGTGCAAAGCGGGAGGTAGGGGGCGACCCTGACGTGAGGGGCCTACATTGAAACGTGCGGCTCATGTGCTTCGTCCACCATGCTGGCGCTGCCACGTCACCTGGAGGCCGCGCTGAATGGAAAATGGACCTGCGGTGAACAACTTGATAAGTTCAGGGGCCTATTTTTCACGTTTGCAAGCTCGTGGACCGGATTGGCACAGGCCGACAAGTTAAAGGGCCGCCAGTGTATTTCACTCTTTATTATTTATCTCCTACCTTATTTTCTTATCACACTTTTCCACCACCGCCCACCCACGCTGTACGGCGTCACTGATGACCAAGGCATGCACACCATCGTTCGCCGCTGTTAAGTGGTTTCTTGGCTTCCCGTGCGGTGAGCTATGGCTGCCTTCCACAGCTAGGGTGTGGCTGAGTGAGCTCTGCTCAGCCCCACCCATGGTCATATGCACTGGTGAAAGTTTTAGTTTGGTTTTAGTAAATTGATGAAACCCTAAGTGCTAGCCTAGTTTATCAAAGTGATTATGAGATATGTGGCACATTTCAAGTGGTGGAGCAAATGAAGATTATGACATGATGATGGTGATGCCATAGTGATGATCAAGTGCTAGGACTTGAAAAGAAGAAAGAGAAAAACAAAAGGCTCAAGACAAAGGTATAAGTGGTAGGAGCCATTTTATTTTAGTGATCGAGACACTTAGAGAGTAGGATCACATTTAGGATCGATAGTCGTACTATTAAGAGGGGTGAAACTCGTATCGAAATACAGTTATCAAAGTGTCACTAGATGCTCTAATTCATTGCATATGCATTTAGGATCTAGTGGAGTGCTAACACCCTTGAAAACATTTGTGAAAATATGCTAACACATGTGCACAAGGTGATACATTTGGTGGTTGACACATTTGAGTAAGGGTTAGAAACTTTACCGGTGGAGTGTCCGCCGTAGAGTGCGGACAATCCGACGGTGCCACCGGCGCCCTGTATAGAAAAGACAGGGTTTCACAGAGTACACCGGACGCTGGTCTCAACAGGACCGAAGCGTCCGATCAGTAGAAGTAGTGAAAACGCTGGCGTCGGTCTTCGACCGGACGCTGGCAGGGTGCGTCCGGTCCTGCTGACGTGGCAGCGCACAGAGGAGACAGTGAGTGATCGGACACTGGGTGAGTCCGGTCGGGCATGACCGGACGCATCCGGTCGCGAGTGGAGGCTTATTGGAAGTGACCGGACGCTGGGGTCCTGCGTCCGGTCGTGATCCAACTGACGCGTCCGGTCACAGCTGGATCCTTACTGGAAGTGACCGAACGCTGGGGTCCTGTGTCCGGTCATAGCACTGTGCTGCGTCTGGTCATCACTTGACCGTTGGGATCGGGCGCTCAGTATTTGAAGAGAGGGATGATGTGGCAGCCATCCGTTGACTGGACGCTGGCAGGGTATGTCCGGTCGATCTAACCGGAGCATCCGGTCACCCCGAGTTGTGCCCAGTGAGGGGGTACAACGGCTCTATTTCATGGGGGCTTCTATTTAAGCCCCATGGGCGGCTCTAGCTCACTCTCTTGACCATTTGCATTGACATAGCAACCTTGTGAGCTTAGTCAAAGCCCTTCCACTCATCTCCATCATAGATTCAATATCTTTGTGAGATTGAGAGTGAATCCAAGTGCATTGCTTGAGTATTTGCATCTAGAGACACTTGGTGTTCGTGTTTCGCTGCGGGATTCGCTTGTTACTCTTGGTGGTTGCCGCCACCTAGATGGCTTGGAGCAGCGAGGATCGTCGAGCGGAGGTTGGTGATTGTCTCCGGCTCCAATCGTGGTGATTGTGAGGGGTTCTTGACCTTTCCCTGGTGGAGAGCCAAAAGATACTCTAGTGAATTGCTCGTGACTTGTATGATCCTCATCTTGTGTTGGTTGTGCGACACCCTATTGAGGGTTTGGCGTGTGATGCCAATTAGCGCGTGAAACTTCAAGTGAGTGAATCGTCACAACGAGGACTAGCTTGCCGGCAAGCAAGTGAACCTCGATAAAAAATTATTGTGTCATCATTTGATTACGAGGTGATTGGTCTTCATTGATATTCATTCTTGTGATTGATTGGTTCATTCCTCGACATGGCAGTATAACTATCTTGCTCTCTCTCTATATATATTACCGTAAACTAGTTGTCAAGCTCTTTAGTGTAGCTAGTTGTGAGAGCTTGTTAGTTTGGTTAGTATGACTCTTTAGTTAGTCTTTGAGAGCACACTAACTTAGTACAGTGACATAGCTATTGTATGGATAAAAACTATATAAACTAGAATTGTGGTAGGTGGCTGGCAATTTTAGTAAGCTAGCGCAACACTTGCTTCGCCTAATAATTGTCTAACCGATTTGCTAAGTGTTGTTGTAGAAAATTTTAATAGGCTATTCACCCCCTTCTAGCCATTAGGACCTTTCAACTAGAGCTCAACTCGATGCACCTCGACCGAGCTTGTCACCGGCAACGGCTTCCACGTTGGCCGGTTCAGCCACCACGTGGTTCATGCCACAGCTCCTGGACCCGCAGTCGCGTCGTGCGCGTGTGGCGCTCCCGCTCCTGCCACCACCGTCTCCGCTCACATGGTGGCGCTCCCGCCCCTGCACCCGAGTTCTCCACGGTGATGCGGCATGGTCTACTGCGACTGCTCCTGTGCGACAATCTCCACCGCACCAGATGCCCCATCCTCCTTCTCCACTGCACCCGAGCGCGCTTGCTGGCTACCGTAGTTCCCCACCAAGTAGGCCGTGGCAGCCAGTGATGTCGTGTTTCAAGTGTTTCAGACGTATCTTTCAAGTGTTTCATCTGGATGTTGCGTATGTTGCAATGGCTATATACGCATGTTGCAAACGTATGTTTCATGTTATAAGCATATGTTTTAAGTGTTTCATCTAGATGTTGCAGAAGAAGATCTGGATGTTGCATAACATGCATGTTGCAAGCGTATGTTTTCAAGTATTTTAAGTGTTTCATACATATGTTGTAAGTGTTTTATCTGGATGTTGCATATACTTGTAATAGTTTTTAAAATATTTTGCAAGTGTTTCAAACATATGCTTTAGGTGTTTCACCTGTTTCGGTCGTATGTTGCAAGTGTTTTATCTGGATATTACAAAAGTAGATCTAGTGTTGCACATGTTGCGATGGAACCCACCTGCCGCTAGGGCACCGCCGTGTGTCACCATGATGCATATGTGGCATGCATCCACAGGCAGGCGCGTGGATTCATGCATCCGCGAAACGGAGCAGGTGTGGGCGGGCCCTGCATACGTGCAGGAAGCGCAGCGGGCACGGCGCGGGAAACGGAGTAGCATGCCTATACGTGCTGGACTCTAGAATGCGCTGCAAATTTGAATCAGGCCGAAATAATTTGGCCGGTTTAGTCTTCTCTCGGACCGGGCCGAAATGGACGAATTTCGGACAATTCGGGCCGAATCCCAGAACCGTGCCTGCCCCGTACCTAATTTGAATGGAATTAATCGTTTTGCTTGCGTTTGCTCATGCTCATTTCAAGAAACCATTAATCACGGCGAACGCAACGCGCTTGTCAAAGACGGATAATCACGGCGCTACAGTTGAGCACAGCTCAGTTACACGGCGGACTGCCCGATCCTTCTCAGCTCAACGCAGGCTCCACTTCTTGAGCAGGCAAGTGAAGACCTTGGTGAACCTCCTGGACCCTGACCTGCGCAGCCGCGGCTTCTTGCCGCCGCCGCTCGGCTTACTGGCCGCGGCGGCCGGCGTCACGGCCAGCACCATCTCTTCCTCTTCTTCTTCTTCTTCCTCGTCCTCCTCCCGCTGCTGCTGCGCGGCCGCCTGGCTCGCCACCTCGTGCAGCTCCACCCGCGGCTGCATCTCCTCCAGCTCCATCTCCCGCTGCCGCTGCTCCCGGAACAGCCTCAGCAGCCGCTGCGCCTTGTCCCGGGCCCTGACCGTGCCGTTGGCCGTCACGGACACCAACGCCGGGATCACGCCCTCCTGGAGCACCGTCTGGCTGCTGCCTTCGTCGCCGCTGCAGATCACGTACAGGCACGACACGGCCTTCTCCTTCTCCCCCGGCTCGCCGTTGTCCACGATGAGCACGATGGCGCCCACCATGGCCGCGCTGGCCGCGATCTCCTCCTTGCCCCTCCGGGTCAGCGCCAGGTTCAGCAGCACCGCCAGGGCCTTGTCCGTCCACGGGGACGACGGCGTCAGCACGGCGCGGAGGCTCTCCATGATGCCGGACGCCATGAGGAACGGGATGTTGGGCGCGTGCAGCGAGAGGTTGTACAGGGTGAGCAGCGCGTCCAGGCGACACGTGCCGCTTGGTGGGCCACCTTCGCCCAGACCATTGACGAGGAAAGGGATGGCGATGCTCGAGCCGATGATCGCCTGCGCCTCGGGGATGCAGGACAGGTTCAGGTACATTGCGATGGCAGCTTCGCAGGTTTCCCGTTTCTGTATCATCTGCTCGATCAGGGGGATCACTCCAGCTGACAGCAGCAGCCTCTTGTTCCTGATAACAAATGATGCAAAGCTGAAATCATGAAAACAATTGAGATCCATCACAGTGGACGCCTTTTGACACTATGGTTAATTGGTTATAGCAAACGGAGCAACATTGGCATTTACCGGTCATTGTTGACAGCAAGATTGAACAGAGCCATTGTAGCAACCTCCTGAGACTGCACGTCTCCTGTGCTTATAGCCATCTTCAGAAAATGGATTAGTGGCTCAGTAATACCATTAGCACCTGCATAGTCTCGAAGTTCGTCGTCGTTCTTCAACAGGATCCTGATCTGCTCAACCAACTTATGTCTCTCACTCATGCTCTCGGCATCGTTCTTGTTCAGCACATGGAGCCACTGTTCATATCTGTCACTGACAGGCACATCATCTTTGGAGTTCTGATGAGCGCCCTTCTCCACGGAGTCTTCAACCCCACATATCTCAGGTGCAACCTCCTTGGAGCTCTGAAGAGTAGAGCAGTTCTCCGGTGAGACTTCTTCGTCTACACGTAGTTTGGATGTGGCCTCTCCGGAGTTCTGACGAGACAACATCTCCATGGAAACTTCACTCTCCAACTTGGCATCATCCTTGACAGCTGGGTCTTCGAAAGAAACAGTGTTAGCGCCATCAGTCGCCGAACATGTGCTGCTTTCAAGGGATGAAATTCTCAGGTGTTCTAGCTTGGGAGATTCTGGCGGTCCAGATGGAACAGGAACCCCGTTCTGTTCACACCAAGATGCTATCAGACCCTTGATGCAGTAATTGGGCGTCCTCAAGAGCTGGGACAGCTGCTTGCGAGTTTTCGGGCAGGTTGTGTTGCCACTGTCGAACCACTTCTCGATGCACGCTCGTTCGTATGTTTGACCGGATGCAATAACAACAGGATCATACATGAGCTGCAGGGAGATTGGACACCTCAACTCCTCAGGTGGCAAGGGCATACTCCCTGATAACCCTTTAATCTTCTTCGAATTGAAGGAGCCAACCCTTGGGAGTTGCTTCTCAAGAATCTGACAGTTTCCATGGAGATCAGTTGAGCTAGACAGTGAATGATTCAGACCAATCAAGCCAGAATTCGATCTGGAGGAGAAGGAAGGGCTTGAGCACAGGGAGTTGGTGGTATCAGTTGTTTCACTCTTAAATATGTTCGAGTATTTCCTAATCAGGTGGAGCAGGTAGGCTGCAATTGATTCCTTTTTTATGTCCTCCTCTGCATGGGCTCTCTCAAGAAGCCTCCTAAGCGCTCTTCTTTCAGTGAGAGCTGCCACGGATGAAGTAATACCAACCCGGAAAGCAATTTGGTGGAGAAATTCTAGTTCATTCTCATCAAGGAACCCATTGGATTTCGGCTCATTCTGAATTAGTTGATTCACTTCATCACCAACTTGCTTTTCAGACTGATCCAAAACAAAATCAGCCTTTTCCAGTTCTTGTGCAATCATAGTGATCTGAAATTTAGGAAGGAAACTACTTATCAGGGGACGAGGAATCCAAGTAATTCCTCAATAAAACAAGATCCTAGTAAAATAAGCATGACACAGTTCATGGTTGTAGCATGCGACAATAAATTCCTCATCGAAAGTTTCGGCTGAAAAAACTGAAAAAATGCTAAAACTACTGTACTTTTTCTGAAAGGTTATGGACAACCTTAGAACCGACTGCTTCCGGAATTGTTTCTTCCACTTGGTGAAGACTTTCCAGAAGTCCTTGTCTTGAATTCTCAAATTTTGTTAGAACGTATTCTGCTGTAACAGCCTGAAATTCAGTGTTAAACACATTGCATTCGAAAATAAAGAAAGTTCATGAGAAGAAGTTCTCTGCCAAGCACATATAATGTTTTATTTATACCACTGGTGACATGATTGTACAAAAATAGTTCATGCATTCGTCCTTTTTTACTTACTTAGACTAGGAAATATCAAACAGATTCACAGATATGAAAAAATATATATACCAAGTAAAGCTTGCTACTCTCTGAGCAATACTGGAGTAAATTCTTGGCTTTCTCAACAGATATCCTCATGGAGCTCAATGCCAGGAGCCCAGGACTGCATCCTGACCTTGTAGTCTCAAAGGGAGGAATGGCATCCAAAACTTCACGGACTACTGTGTAAAGTTCATTGCATAGTGCTCCATGTAGCTGTGAAAAGAAGCAAACTGAATAATCCAACTGATCCTACCCCCAGCATCCTGATACTTTACATTATTGAATAATCAAAATGTTAATCTAGAAAACAGCAGGAAACTGATCTTATCGCCATATTATTTTTCACCTACTTACCATTTTGTTGATGTTCCCATAAGAACATTCAATATGGTAGGTTTAAAGTTTCAGTTAAAACATTGGTGATACTTACAGGATGCACTTGTATCTCTAAACTGAAGAAACCTAAATTCATGAGCAGTAGAACGAAAATACATTATCTGTATCCTGATACGATGACCCTATTCATATTGATGTTGAGCCTAGGGGAAATAGGTTCAGACATTGGTCAGGTATGGATAACTTTGGGCTTTTCTCGATTGTGAGTGGAGAGATGGATGAGGTAGATATCCTGGAAAATCTGAAGAATCTATTTGGAAAGGATTGGAACTGGCAACTCAAGAAACATAGAGTGAACAGTTACATAGTGAGATTCCCTCCTGCAAAGAAAGTGGAGAGTCTGGTAGTTGGTAATGCTTCTCTGTTTTACTTGAACAAGACTGGAGTGAAGGCCTCTCTCAAAGCATGGAATGGTGACATAGAGCCTATCAGTGTGTTGACTGAAGTTTGGGTCAGTGTGTTGACTGAAGTTTGGGTGCAGATCAGAGGGATCCCACCCAAGTCGGTACACTGGTGGACCATCAAGGACATTGCTTCCAGTATTGGTATGCTAGAAGAGGTTGACTGGCCTACCTTGTTTACTAGTCTGTTCTCTGTGGCCAGGATAAAGATCAAATGTAAGAACCCAAGTAGGATCCCACAAGAGAGGGTTTATGAGCTTGGGGGTGGTTGTTATCTGATTTCTTTCACAGCTGAAGGTGTGTCTCAGATAAGTAATAAAGCCTGAAGAGGAAGATGGTGATGGAGGTGGGGATGACCCTGACCCTGAGGAGGGTGACCCTGAGGAGGATGACCTCCTGGATGATGAGTTAGGCAAGAAGACTGATGACAATCTGGAGGGAAACAGGAAAGAAAAGGATCCTCCAAAAGGATCTGGTGGATAAGAAGGAGGACAGGGGAATATTCCTGGATCGCGACAAGGCTGCTACTTCGAAGGGAAGTAAATCTGTAAGAAGGCTGTTGAACTTTGATAACATAGAAGCAAGTGTTAGATTGATCTCTAATCCCAAACAGGGCCCTAACGGCCCAGTTGAGCCTTTGATCCGTGCCCTGATCGGGGGCGCCCAACCCACTATGGCCGGAGGGCCCCTGTCACACTGCGCAATAAATAGAGGTGGGGGCCGGCGGCTCTAGTCACGAGGTTCGCCTGAGCTACAGTTCCCCACCAAAATCCCTAATCCGATCTAGAGGGGCGCAGCCAGTGACGGGAAGCCACCAGCCGCGCCGCCACCGCATTTGCATCTACAGCGAGGGGCTGCTACGTCGCCGTGCTGCCCTGCAACCGCTACTGCACCGCCGCCCTTCGACTCGACACCACCACTAGGTTATCGCCAAGCACTGCGATGACGAGCCCATCTTCATCCAAGGCGGCCGAAGGTTTGCACCCTTCACTCTTCTCTTTCTCTCGTTCTATCTACTGCTACTGCACTAGTAGATGTTTTAGGACTCATGGTTTTATTCAGTAGTAAATAGACATGCTAGTTCTATGCCTAGAGATCCTGCTTAAGGTCTAACAATGGTATCAAAGCCTAACTAGGTGTAGATCTAGCCTATCGGAAGCCTCTGTCTAGATGTAGATCATGTCAGGGGTAAGAAAGAGATCAGATCCGTTCGGATCTGAGAAAAGAAGAGGGTGAACCGAACCCTAACCCTAATCGGGTGAAGAACAGAGAAAAGAAAGGGTCTCGGATCTCAAAGCCGAAACCGAACCCACGAATCAGTCACGGGGAAGAACAACAGTGAACAGAACCCTAACCCTAACCAAACCCTAATCCCCAAATCGGACAAATCCAAGAAGAAAAGAAAGGAAAATCAAATCGGAGAAGATCCAAAGACAGGAGAGGGAAAGGGGAAGAGGGTAAAGGGCTTATCTCGCCGATCTCGAATCAAAACCGAAAGAAAAATCGAATCAGGAAAAAAACCCCTAACCCTAGAAAGAGAAAGGGGACGGTAGAGAAGGGGCTTCCTACCTGGGGCCCGGCCGTCCCGTCTTCGCCGCCGGCCATCTCCATGGCCGGCGCGCGGGAAGAACTAGAGGCGTCGACTGGGCAGGTCACACCACCGCGTGGCTCCACCTCGGGCTCGGGTGTCAAGGGCACCGCAGCGCAGCCCTTCGACGACGGTGCGCTCACCCTCGGGTGGACGCACACACTGGCGAAGGGGTGCACGGCGGCGCCGCCACTTCCACCGGCCGTCATGGCCGTTCGCTCTTTGAGCTCGCTCTCTGCGCTGCGGGGCTAAGAGAGGAAGAGAGGGAGAAGAGAAACGATGCTAGGGTTACGGGGAGGCAGCTGCGCACCGATTTTGATCCTGCGACATCGACGCTCGGCCGTCGGATGAAAGCGGACGCCTCAGATTGCTTGGGCCGGAGGCCGGCCCAGGCGGGTGTGCGCGGCCGCACGGCTTTGCCGGCCCAGGCCCAGGTTGCGCCCTGGATGCGGGCAGCGCGAGTGCAAGGAAGGTGGGCCGAGCCGTTTTGTTGGCTAGGCTGAAGAACAGTGTTCATTTTGAATCATTTTTTTGTTTTTCTTTTTCCAGTAAATATTTATTTCCTGGAAAATGGATAAATGCCTTAAAGTAAATAGAAAAGAGAATTTTCCTGTGGGTAAAATTCATTAAATTGAATTATTTTTCCGCTGCAATGTTAAAGTTAATGATCTTCTAATTAAATTCGAACCAACGGAAAATTTTAATTTGAAGAGTAGTCAATTTTAATCAGTAAATTATAATATTATTATTTTCTGACCAACGTTGATAATAACAATATTATAATGTTCCATACATTAATTCTATTTCTGTCCAACGGTGATGAAGAATTAGTGTATAAGAACAGTGGTATGTTTTAATTTTGACCAACGTTGGAACTAAAGCATGCAATTGTTGTTATTATTTATGTTCTCACTCTATATGAATTGTGTTTTCAGGCGGATACAACTTGATGGGTTGTATCAAAGAGATCCCCACTCTTAAAGGTGACAACTACATGGAGTGAAAGAAAAAGATTAACCTGACCTTCATCTTGGCTGAGGTGGACTAGGTAGTCACCTCACCGTGTCCCATTGAGCCTGTGGCACCGGTGAGGGAGACAAACGAGGCTGATGTCGCTTAGGCAACTAGAGAGAGGGATTTTGCATCCCAAAAGATGTTCTATGACCTTGAACATAGGAAGTGAGTCACTGCTAACAAGAAATATTTGACTGTGATAAAGAACACGATTGAGCCTGTAATTATGGGCTCAATCCCAGAGTGTGACACGACCACCGGGTACCTCGATAGAATAAAGAGTCAGTTCACTGGCTCTTCAAAGACATATGCTACCCAGCTGATAAAGCAGCTAGTGACAGAGAGGTACTCTAGAAATAGTAGCATAAAAGAGCACATACTAAGGATGAGCAATTTGGCATCCAAGCTAAAACCAATGGATCTGGCTCTCAAGGAAGAGTTCCTTATCCATCTAATTTTTGCTTCCTTGCCAAAGGAATTTGACACTTTTGTTATCAATTACAATATACAACCCGAGAAGTGGGACTTAGAGAGGCTCATGGCTATGTGTGTGCAAGAAGAGATAATGAAAGCTGTCAATGGTGACACTATCAATTATTTGAAAGACAACATGAAAAAGAATAACAATGCTAACTCCTCCTCAAAGCCAAAGGAAAAGGGTCTCATGCTGCATCAGCCTCAGCAAAACAAGTTCACAGTAGAGAAAGACCAGTATCTCTATTGCAAGAAGACGCGACATTATAAGCAAGATTGTCCCAATTACTTAAAGATGATCATGGCAAAGAAATGTGAGAACATTATTACGTTTATAAATGAATCCCTGTATATACAGTATTCGAAATCTACTTGGTGGATTGACTCAGGTGCAACTGTTCATGTTGCTAATTCTTTACAGGGATTCCATTCGACGAGGACTACGCAAAGAAGAGAAAGACACGTTAAAGTTGTAAATGGAGTCCGAGCAGATGTTGAAGCCGTTGGCGATCTTTCTCTAAAGCTTGCTGATGGCTTCACACTTTTACTTAGAGATGTACTTTATGTTCTCGCTTTACAGAGAAACTTGATTAGTGTTTCATGCTTGGACAATGATGGATATGTTTGTCATTTTGGAAATGG